CCCCCTGCACCTATGTCCTTATCAGCTGGCAGGCTTCATGGCCACATCAGGGCCTAGCAAGCCTGCAGTTTTCACCCCCCAGTGCCCCAAGACAGATACAGTTCCACAAGCACCCATGTAATGAGTTTTGCTTGTCAGCAGCCAGAGGTGCAGGGCGCCATAAACCCCTGCATCCATCTCCTTGACAGCTGACAGGCTTCATGGCCTCGGAGAACGCTAGCAGGCCTGCAGCTTTCACACTGCTGCACATTAACACACAAAAATGTCACCCATGTCACAAGTTTTGCTTATCCACAGCTTGAGGTGCAGTTTCCCCCAAACCCCTGCACCTATCTCCTTGAAAGCTGGTAGGCTTCGTTGCCTCAGCAGGAGTTACCATCCCTGAAGGTTTGACCCTGCTGTGGCTTAATATGTATACCTGATATGAGTTTTGCTTTCAAGACTTTGAGGTGCAGTTTCCCTGAAACCCCTATACCTATCTCCTTGAAGCTTGGCAAGCATCATGCCCTCAGAAGGGGCTACCATTTCTGCAAATTTAATCCAAATCAGGCCAGAAATGCCAAAGTTGTAAGCTGTTTCAAGCTTCTCCATTATAGCCTATGGGCGAAGTGTTAAAACAGCGAAACTGTTTCAACGAAACAGAACGGAACAGCAGTTTTGAATCGAAACGAAACTCAAAATGAAATGCTGTTCCATCGAAATGTTGAAACGCAAGTTGAAACGGAACAGTGCCATTTTTACAGCCCTAATACTTAGTATAGTACTATACTAAGAGCTTCCAAGAGAGGTGGTACTATCACCTAACTTGGAGGTCTTCGAGAGGAGGCTAGATAGTCACCTGGCTGGGGTCATCTGACCTCAGTCCTCTTTCCTGACAGGGGCAGGGTGTCGGACACGAAGATTCTTTGTGGTCTCTTCTGACTCTACAATCTATGAATCTATAGTGGCCGAGGGGCTGTCAGTTGACAGCTTGACAGAGCCAAACTGCGCTTTGCGCTGGGCAAGACTCTTGTCAGAGATGTCTGGAATAGATCCCTGGTGGTACAGAGGCATACCCTGGGGTGTCTCAAGAAGGATTTCCAGCCATGATCCCAGCCCAAAAGCGAATTCCTTATCTGATCCATTATTCTTAGTTCAGTGGGCATTGGGGGGTTTCAGTTTGAAGCCTGACTGCACATTGGGCCGGGTAGGACTGTGGTCAGGATTCTTTGGGACAGTCCCCCAGTGCCATTGACAGGAAGTTTGGGGTGGTCCAAGAGGCATTTTGCCCCATAAACCCATCCTAATCTGATCTTCATTTAGGGCTCTATACTTGATGCAGGATATTACAGATTAGCTTTGAAAAAGAAACTGGGAAAAAGGAACCAGGAAAAAGGAGCCAACTTCAACCTCATCTCTTTGCCCTGCATCAGAAACAGAAAGCAATTAACAGGCAGCAGCATTTTGCTCCTAAACAGAGGGATATGAAAACCCAGCTCTTGAACCTGGAAATAGGCGTTAACCTGTGCATCTGTTCCCATTCCAGCAAGCTGTGCACCTCCTAATGGTGTACAATAATGAATGGGAACACCCTTAACCATTTTTGTCTGTAGACCCATACACAGATCAGAACTAACACAAATATTTGGGAGGCAAAGTGGTAGACTTGTCATACCTACATGGTCCAAGTCTATTTTGACTGATCTGCCACAAAAAAAGCCCATTTCAAAAAGAAAGCAAACTGGATTACATTGTGCAGCCAGGCACAACACCTAACGGAGGTGGCTGCTGCAGGCTGAGCTGATCGCAAGGGGGCAGCAGACCCTGTTTATATTAGAAGTACTGCACTGGTGCCCTTCCCTAATGTAGACACATGGCAGTGGTGTAAGGTGGGATTTACCAGAGCAGCTTCACCTAGTACATTATCAGGCTATAACACAACAGGATCAGCCCGTTTCTCCGGAGTTTACACTAGGAATTTGCAGCAGGGACAGCGACACCAGGGTAAACATCTGTAGTGTAGTCTTGGGCCTAAGAAGAACAGGGGAGCAGCACTCACTTTCCATACTACAGGGGAGGAGTTCAAATCAGAATTCTTACCACTCAAAAGTACCACTGCACTTCTGTATAATAGGGTTAACGACCCTGCCCTCCACTGTAAAGCATTTTGAAATCTACAAAGGAAAGATGATGTATACAAGCTGGGCATGCAGCATTATTATTATTATTAGCCAATTTCCCATCAGGAATGACTGTGGGGGGGAGGGGTCCAGGCAGGGATAGAGCGCTGCCACCCACCATCCCCCCTGCCCCCCACACTGCCTCCCAGGAGTGGGGGGTGGGGAGGGGAAGCTTGCCCTGCCATCCCTTCTGTCCCCTTTGGCCAGCACCCCACACTGCCGCTGCCACCTTCAGGGAGCGAGGGTGGGAGGGTCCGTCCCCTCCATCCCTGCTCTGTCTCTTCCGTCACGGCAATGATCCGCCATGCCGCTGCCACAGCCTTCTGTCCAACATGCTCTTGGAGCACTCTGATTGGTTGTTTCAGTTATCAATCAGAGAGCTCTAAGAGTGTTACGGTCAGACAGACAGATGGACAGGTTTTTTTATTATATTAGAATTTTTATACACAGGAGTCTATGTGCAACTTACAAATGGAGCACCACCTCCTGAGTTGGCCTCAGGAATATCAAATGGCTCTCACTGGCCTAAGGACATTGGACTCCAACCTGCTTCACTCCTCAGGTAGCTGGGATAGAAACACCTTGCCTATATTGCCCAGAGAGCACTGCAAGAGAGAATCTAGAACAGTACTAATGTGGATCTTGGCAAGCCTGTGGCCATTTCGAATACCGCTACCTCAGGCAACTCAAAGTGCCTCCAGCAGTGCAACTGAGGGATGTAATTGCCACGGTCAACAATTCTTTCCACAACAATGACAGGTGAGACCAGGATCACCCATGTGCTAATGACACCCTACACAATACCCCTGATGTAAACAAAATTAGTCAAGCTCTAAATTAACTCAGTACCTGCATGCTGAACCCCTCACCAGCCTCTCAACACAGGCATGGAATTCCTCGTTATCAAGTTCAATGGAGTTTCACTTCCCAGGGAGGACTGCTTTCCTCCTGACATTTCCCAGAGGAATCTCCGTTATTTCATAGGCTTCTTCTACTAGGTGAGGAACATTGCTTGAGTTCTGGGATTTGCTGAGAAAAGCATCCCAGATGTGGGTTTCATACCCAAATCCTACAGGAAGTCCCTCTCACTGATTCTGGCCTGAGATCACCTCTTCCGTACAAATTCAGTGCCCCAAAAAGCCAGCTAGTAGAATGTCCCAAACCATTATTAGATTTAAAAACGGCTGAATGGCAGCCATGAATTCTGGAAAACTGGCACATACTTGAGCACATCTACACAAGATGTTTAATGTTCAGAAGACTAATTCTATTGTGCATTAGCGTGCCAGGCAAAACCTGTGCTAATGCACAGTAGATTAAATCTAATGTGCGTTAACGTCACTAAAAAAGCATTCATCCAAGCTAATGAGAAGTAACACTAATTACAGAGCATTAAGTTAGTACCTGTTATTACAGGTACTAAACAATGCACCGTAATTACAGTTCATTAATGAATGCATAGGCACACCCCCTGAGAAGCAGGGCCACTTTCAACTCCCAACTGAACAGACCCTGGTAGGTTCTGATCAGCAACGCCCAAAACTCAGAAACAAGAAGGGTCTCCACACAAGTTGCTTCTTTGCTAGGGCAGAATTCCACAGACCCAGGTCCTCCAAAAGAGCAATGGCAGACAGCTACGTAGCATCCATTGTGCATACGCATTACTTATACATACTCAGCTGTAACAGGGGGCCTTCTTGGGGCCGATTTCCCTGTGGCCTGCCCACCTGTTTCTGGGCTAACCACCCACCTTCTCACCCTCCACGCCTTGTTGTTAATTCATTAATTGATGTTAATTAAGCAGGAGACTGCCCATTTCTTGCCCTGATGCCAGGGGGTGCTATTTGCCACCCCTACACCACAGCCCAAGCCTCCAGATGGCATCCTCTGTTCTTACAGTCACCGGCCCCACTCTGGGCCCCAGAATCCTACTGTTTGAACCCCACCTGGATCCCTCCATTCAGGTGACCAGAGCTGCTTCTCCCTTACAGGTGTGGTCCCTGCAGGACGTTTGGCTCTACTGGCCCTGGCCCCACCTCCAGGCCAGTTGGAAACCCAGGCCCTCAGTTCTGGGCATCCCTCCCAATGGGCCCCTGGCCCTTTGACCCTTCCAGTCCTGGCCCCAGCATTGACCAGTTGGGAGATGTCAAGACAGGTTTTTTTGAGTCTATGGCCCCACTCTCTCACTGGGGTCCACCCTCCAAAACCTACAAGGGGGTAACCCACCCGGTTGTGGGAGCTGGGGTTAAGGCACCCCGACCCACCTTTCACCAGGGTGGTAACTGGCCTGACATTTCCTGGGGGCTCCCGCACCACTGAGAGCCCCACCAGGCCACCCACTCCCAGCAGGGTGCAGTTTTAGGTCATGCCCAGGACCAGGAGCCTCCTGGCCATCCCCTACAGCTCCTCCCTTACCTCCAGGTGATACCTGCAGCCAGGCGATGTTGTTGCCTGGCCTTCCAGCAGCAAAATGCTCCATTTATATGGGCAGTCCTGGATCCTTAATGGCTGCCCTCATTGGGCACCTGCCGGCTGCTGTCTTCAGGTCCTTAAAATGCCTTGCCACATCAGCCTTCGGTCATGCCCAAGCCCTACATACACCCCAAGTACAAGCCATTATTACTGGGTCTTTAAACACTACAGTGGAATCAGAAGTAGGAGCAGGGAAGGGTACACAGCTAACCAGGCATCCCCTTCACCATGGCCCTTCCCTCCACACTGCACATGGGGTCCTGCCTACCCTTTCCCTCACAGCTCATGGAGCATCCCAACACTACTCCCATCGCTTCACACAGAGCAACCCTGTCCTTCCCTCCTCCCGTAAGGCTCAGGAAGTCTCATAACACTTCCCACTCACTGCACACAGGAGCTGCTGACCAGCCCTTATGCCCATGCAGGGGTGGATCTATAGGGTGGGGGGAACTTGCACTCCACTTTGATTCTTGCTCCAACTAAAGTTTAAAATCAACTGCCTGGCCATGGCAAAGCATTTATAGTCAGGCAGCAGTAGCAGAGAGAGTGCCACTTGAATGAATGGGTCATTCAAATCTTAACTCTTTATTCCACAAGTGTTAATTACTCTCCTTTTTAATGGTCTTGATGTTCCACTAATCAAGCTATCCTTTGTTCTGCAATTCTGATGTCTATTAGCTGCTCCTGGTAATGTATCTCTAATTTCATAGCCCTGCAGACTCTTTAACTCATTCCAATAAAGTAATATTTGTTTTTGCTTCAATCTTAAACTGAAGAATATATCCCTGGGATCCTAGTATATTAGTAAAACTTCTAACTTATTTTTACCGGGAAAAAAACATGTGTTGTGTTATATGGGATGAGGCACCACACAATCTACACCCTCCTTTTCAAAATCCTATATGCACCCATGGTGCATACAGCTGCCCCATCCTGGCTCCTCACTACACGTTCGAAATACCTGCAGACCCTCTGAGACAATCCCTGGCATCCTCTCCCATATTTATCAGCATGGCCTGCACAGAGACTGGGAGCTCCCCTGGCCCTGAGGAAGCATAGACAATTCTTCTGTTTTCTACCTGTCCTTCCCTCCTACCTCTCTCTCCACTTTACCACCCTGTAACTTGGCTCTTTCAGTCCTCCTCACTATGCATCCTAGGATTACATGTCTTGTGCTGCCTGTTACTCAGTCCTTTTGCCTGTATGCCATATCATTTGTATTTTTCAGTCTCTCGTCCTCAGAGAATAGATCTCTTATGGGAGTGAGCAGCATCTAGCTCACTCCTGAAGCCACCGTTATTTCAGTAACAGTCACACAGTACAGGAGCACCATTCAGAACCAGCCCAGAGAATGAACAGAAGGCCGAACCCTATGAATGCAGGTGGCAGGTCCCTGTAGCCCAAGGGTTTTGGGAGATGGATCCGACAGTTGGATCTGGAGCTGGTTCCCAGCAGTTGGAGGAGTCTGGATCGAAGATTTAGTCTGAGGATCTTCCCCTATAGAAGTAACTCCAACCTGAAGGCTAGTAGCCTACAGACACTACAGGATTCCCTTCTTAAAATCAGTCCCTTCTAACTGATACTTCCTGTCCCATTGGCAATAAATCCCAGCTTCTGTCATTGCCTGTCTCACAAATGGAATTAATCAACTTATCTCAAAAAGAAAGAACAGGGATTGGGAAAGCAGCTGCTTGCAGCTTGTTCTGACTTGCAGCCCTGTGCCCCTGGGTACATACCAGAAGAGTGTAGCGGCCACGGAGAGCTCTCATTATGGGTGAGTGAGTGCCACAGTTTCCAGCTGTATTCTCTGGGGCTGCCCAGGGGAGTGGAAAGTCAGTGCCTGCCCATGGCCTATTGAGAACACACCCACAGAACAACCCAGTGTTAATGATTACCTCAAGTTGCAGCACCTGCTGCTGTAACCCTAGCACAGCTATCCAGGCATCTGCATTTCAAATCCTCTGCCCCTGGGTAGCCTGTTCCTGAGCAACATTTACATGGCAGACCAGAACTTCCTGCCTTTCTTTGGAGAGTAGACTTTGAGGCGGCTTGGAGTTCGTAATTTTAGCATGATCTTTGTCTCCTAGGGTCCTTCCCAAGCCTAGGATGAAACTGGTTTCTGTACACCATGCCTGTTTCCCCCATTACATGCCTAGAGCCAGCTTTCTTATGATATGCTCTTGCCACAGTAATTGACTGAGTACATTGATTTATTATGTCCCAACTTTGCACACTTCCTTGGGCACAATTGCAAATGCTGAGCTGCTGCAACTGGATCTATTTTTCTAGATCCTGACACACAGGAGAGTTAACAAAACACATGGGGGTTAAAAATATGTAAGAGATGCAGCAACTCTGCAAGCAAAAATTTGAAAAAGAGGAAGGACAAATGAATGCTCATGTGGTTTGGAGGAAAGCACATAGGTTCTGATAGGCTGTTTCAAAGGCAGGGCAAACAGTCTAAACCCCACTTGGAGAAGGGTTGTTTGGGACAAAACATGCATTAGTTTTACAGGGCATGTGACCAGCCCCACAAGTAAACAGAGAGCTCAGAGGAGAGCTTCCCACACTGCTTCATACAGCTTCAAAGAGGAGTCTCACATACTTCTGGCTCCACATCACTGACTGGTCTTGTCTCCCTTCTTGTTTGCCATCTCCTAGGCCCCACCTTCTCTCCAATTGCCGATTGTTGTGCCCCTGATTCTCTTCCCCCTTGACCTCAAAACCTCCCCATAGCAACTCCCTCCATTGCTTAACTAGGGCAATGTGCGTTTGTTTAATTTAGACTGTGTGGGACTGAACATTTTGCTGTGTTTACAAAGCCAATTAATCCCTTTGTCTGTTGAACCTCTGTCCCAACTCCTCTTCCCCATCCCTTTGCTACTTGGAGCTAGAAAGGAGGTGGGTCAGTGCAATACAGCAGCCAGCTCTCTGCCAGCCACAAGTAAGTGCTCAACAGGCCGCAACAAAAGGAGCTAAGCTTAGAGAAATAATCCACAGGACACTGCGGGGGTCAGTCAATAAACCTATATAAACCTAACAATAAACCTATCTATAGTGGGGATGAAATAAACATCTGGATTCAACTACCAGTCTGCCAGGCTTGTCACTCCTTGTCTGTGTCCCTAACCTTTTCTGGCCTCCTTGAGGCAGTACTAGGGGCTTGTCTACTTCTCAAAGCCCTTGGAATTCCCTGTGAATTTCATATATCAAAGGCACTGCCATTGCTGGGCAGCTTCCCCAGGCCCAGCCACAGCCAAAGAAGTCAATGTAATTAAGTTGATTTCACAATAAGCACCATGCCTGAGACCTATGTCCAATTGCTAAAAGCTATACAGAAATCTGCAAGGAAGAACATCCTGCAGAGCTGCAGCATGAATTACATCTCAGGCTTTGCTCCACAAAGCACTGGCCTATACAAAGACTACAGGTGGTGGTATGTACTAGACCCTTTTTCCACAAACACCATTGCTATAGGCGAGGAGCTCATGTTAGCCATCACAGAAGAACACAGGAAATCCTGGCAGACCCTGATTGAGTCATCTGATATGATGCATAATAGTAAAAAGGCATGGGAGACAATATGTAAGCTAAGCAATAACCCACAAAATGTAGATCAACATCACCACTAACCAAAGTGCTCACCAGATGCTTCTCAATGGAAAAAGCCCCCAAACCCAAAACAGATAAGCAAACAAACCAAACCCTCAGACTGGAAAAGGTACAAGTACCCCAAAAAACATGGGCTGTACAAGCCCCTTAATGATGGAACTGAATGCTGGTATTCATGCACTGAAGACTGAGAAGCAGCCAGCCTTGATGATATACTTATCGAACAAATCAAGCAATTTGGATGCCAAACTCAAAAATGGCTCCTCTGCCTATACAAATCATGCATAGCCAGTAAAAATTCCAAATATGTGGCAATAAGTTCAGGGAGTGGCACTTCTAAGGCAAGGGAAAGATCTAACCCAGCAAACTTCAGATCCAAAGAGTTTTAGACCTATCTCTCTTCTATGCTACACATACAAATTGGACCAATGACTGATACTGAACTGGCTTGCTCCATATGTGGATAAACCCTAATCCTCGAACAGGGTGGCTTTCATCCTGGGAAATCAACAACAAGCCAGCTGCTCAATCTAACCCAACATATTGAGGAAGGTTTTGAAAGAGGTCAAATCACCAGAGCTGTGTTTGTTGATCTAATAGCCATCTATGATACAGTTAACCACTGATGACTCCTGCATAGGACCCTCAAAATGACAAAAGATCTACACCCTACAGAGCTGATACGAATCTTGCTCAAAATCAGATTCTTTTTGTCAAACTGGATGGTAAGCGAAGCAGATGGAGGCAACAGATTAATGAACTCCCTCAAGGAAGCGTACTTGCACCTCTGTTTTATAACTTCCATATGCATGACCAACCAATTGATTTGGAAACAAAATGTTTCATTTATGCAGACCTGTGCATAACAACCCAAAACACTGGCTTTGACCAGGTTGAAAAATCCCTGAGACACTGATTGGCCTAACCTCATATTACATAAAACCAATTATGTGCCAACCCAGTGAAAACGTAAGTATGTGTCTTCCATCTGCAAAACCATGAGGTCAGCCATCAGCTCAACATTACACTATTCCACTGCCTAAACCCAGCCCTCTCATACAAAGAACACATCATGAAGACATCAGCAAAGGTGTCCTTACCACAAGGGGCTGATGAACCATGGCAAAGGTGGTGATGTCTCAACCACTTATGTACTGGAGTTGGACACTCCAAGAAACTAATGAAGAAGGGCTATACAACTGGTTCAACCACTTGTGACTGTGGCACAGAGCCTCAGACTATGCAACACCTGCTGCAATGCCCTCTGCTTGAAGGCAAATGTACAATGAAAGACCTCACAAAGTACAGTCAACGAGCACAACCATGTGTAACCAAATGGTCACATGTGGTATAGAGACACAAGAAGAAGAAGACCACACACATGAATGCATACGAACACTTTGCTTAAATTATCTGTGAGGAGCTCACTCCTCTGGAGGCGGAGAGGAAAGCTATCCCCTTGGACTGGTGCCTCTGGCTACCTCTCTGAAATCCCACAGGAACTGGCAATCTCTAGTTGCTCTGTCCCTGCAGTTCTTATTGGGGGGTGTAAAGAAATGGAGCAGGGCAGACACCAGTCATCTTCCCTTACTTCTTGGGCTTCATCCCTGGTGAACTCTCCCACCCTGTTCTTTCTAGCTATGGTCCCCTCACTATTAAAAGGCCTGCAGAGCATTCCTGGGTGCCAGGGGCCAGGCTGCTCACACAGGGCTGGCGGCCTCCTTGTTTCCAGTTCCTACTATAAGTAACATTAAAGACATTATAGGAAATGGCATTCTTAGGTTACTCTTCCATGTGAGCAACTGTAGAGTT